ACACCGTTTTTATCTTATGTCTAAATCCGTCTCTTAGAAGTGCCATTGAGTAAGGTTTTACCGCCATTTGTAAGTAAAAGTAGATGTATCTTGTTATTTCTGGTCATATTCATTTCATAATATTATGACAAAGGACAGAAAGGAAATGTTTCGATGGTTTGGTCATGTACTAAGAATGGGTGTTAATAGATTGACAGTACTAATTTATAGAGCGAAGGATGGAAACGTGGGGCAAGATAGACCACAACGCACATATCTCCTTAAAAAAAAGGTAGGTTAAAAGTACCTAGAATGGCCATGTACCATGCGAAAGAAATTTATCCGGAGCGTAAGGAATTGAGGTCTCTGCATACCGCTGGAATTCAGCCGAAATACGTCAACTGCTGGACAGAGGTCTCCCCCAAAGAACATCACAACGATCGGTCTTGCGCTGCTTGCATCCAGCGGATTCCCGCAATCTATCTTCACCAGATCTTCGGTCCACCTTGTAGGTGGTCTGACCAAGCTGCGTTGTCCGGTACGCGGTCGCCTCTCAAGAACTCTTTGGCCCCTTCGGTATCTATTCTGCGAGCAAATTGCCACGCCCACTGCCACTTAAGTTTTGCAATTCTTTGAGCTATGTCGGCTACTCTGGTTCTTTTGCAGATATCCTCTTTACTGATTCGATCGATTATCGATATATTCGATTCTTATACAACAAAATAGAAAAACAAAAGGAATATAGAAAGGATTCCATTGTCCTCTATTTTGACAACTCATAAAGATAGGTCCCAATGGGTTTTTGTTTATATTGGCAACATGCGATCTGTCCATAGACCATGAGCAGTTGTTTTGTTGAAATGAAATATTTATTCGCAGGCAAACACGGTACAAGATGTTATACAAAGTGTCATGAACACATGTTGCACCAGGTACTGGCAGGCAAATATTAAAATTAGATTTTAATATTTGCGTTTTTTTTTTCCAAGTTTTTTTTTCTTGTATTTCTGGCACTTCGCGGTTTGCGTTTGTGCCACAAATAATGCCTTAGAGGATGAAAAACAAAAGTCTAATAAGGCAGTAATCGGCTGTAATAAATAAAATTAATTTGTCAAAAAGCAATGTCAAAAAAAATGTTGTCAATGTCAAAAAAAAAATTATTTATTTGGCAAGTTAGGCTCGCCTGCCCTGTGTTGGACTTAGTACATCTTTACAATTTCTCCTATCTTTAGTCCCGTGGCGGTTCCTAAACATCTGTTACTTAGATTTTCGTTCAGAGTTTGTGCAAGTCTGGTTTCATAAGATTCACCCTTATAGGCTTTAATCATGCTCCTTATGTCTGTTTGATAGTAACGACTTTCAGACAATCATGGGTTTTATTCATTTTTGTAAACCATTTACCAGAGTTTTAAGCACTCCATTTTGGAATCTCTGAATTTCCAAGTTTGACATATGTAACAACAGTTTTGTATAAAAAATAATTTAGAACTAATGAATGAGGTTTGGTCGCAGACGTCACCTATTTAAAGTGTTTCATAATATTGCACAAAGGATCCATATCAAGAGATTAACTAACTATAGAGATAACTTTGTAAAGATACAGGATACTTTAGTTCAAGGCAAAGTTTACGCAATTAATATAATCACAACGTGAAATCACATATTTTATTGACTCTAGCAATTACATCCTCGTGATCTGACATTTGTACAAAGATAGAGAGTAAATACGATTATTTGTTGACATGATATTGATACGATTGATCTGTGTTAGCACATTACCGAGAATTGAAGCTTTGATTCTCCAAAATGTAGATTGTCTATTTATTTATGTTATCATGTCACGGGCTGGTTTCCGCAAGCAAAAACCCACTCAAAACACCCAAACCAGACTCAATTTAAAAAATAATTTCCCTACCAAGAATCGAATCAAGGCTCTCCTCGTCCTCGGTGTAAACCGCTGGATCACCGAGAATAAAACAAATAAATAACGCAAATAAATGCGTCGTCGATGAGAGCTTTTGATTCAATCCGTAATACAACTATATTTATTGATTTATTGTTCTGTGAGATTCTTTAGAACCCCAGGACGCAAAAAGAGGGGTTCTATAGTGTCAAACCAAAACAGTGCAAGTCCCAGACCAGTGTTTTATAATTTCATTACAAGAATCTTTCGATTGTTGTCAGGGGAAAAGAAAAATTGGGTTTTTTTTTATAGAAATAGCTTATATTGCTAAGTACAATTGTAATGGCTGGATAGAGCTTACTTTATCTAATGTGCAAAGCAAGTTAACATCATTCCTATGTTATTAACCTCAAAAGTTTCAAAAAACCGAAAAACAATTTTGCAGCCTTTTTGATGTTACATTGTTTTGGTTTGACAGGGTAGAATTATTTCATATATAAATAATATTAAGTTATATTAGATACTTGGTATCATAAAAAAGTGTGAAGTCCCCAAACCGCATAGGGCCAGTGTGGCGGACTATGGCCTAAAGTCCTCGCCTGAGAGGAGACCCGTACCCAATAGTGACGTGTACATAGGTTGATGATAATGATTAGATTTCTTTTTTAAATTAATGTTTGCACCAATAATTATCGTATTAGTAACCGTATTATAAGTGAACGTAATAATTACAGTATCGTAAAGTGATAACACGTTGAACCAACCTGTACGTGTAGTCTCTGTAAATACATGAGGTACAGAACTACAACGTATAGAAGTTAAATAGGTAAGTATAATTACATAGAACCGCTTGAACGTGACGAATGAACCCATTTTGATAACAAATTGGGGCTTGTTATACCAAGAATAATCTAGGATGATCCCTGTCGCAATTCATAAAAATCTACGGGCAATTATACGCAATGATAGGCAATGAAATATTATGTCCGAGTTATTATTACTGTTTTGGAACCTATAAATTAATAATATGGTAAATGTTATTTGAAAATTTCAAAAATATCTGTTGAAATTGCATTTGAACAATAGTTGTGTGTTTTATGCGTTCAATATAATATAAAACATTTCACACATCTATAATAGTTCAGAATACGTCAGAAAAATAAAACTTTAACATAGAAATTTTGCTACAAAAATGAAATATGCTTAAAAATCTATCGATTTTACCTCATCCCTATGACAAACGTCAATTTATGTGTCATGTAAATTGAAAAGAAAATGCATCTTTTGCAACGGAGGCAATTCGGATAACAAGGTGAAGCTATAAATAACAAGACCACAGATGGGGTAGAAGGCTGTTTTATTTGATTACACTATATATAACAAAATTTTCACCATACTTGCTCTTAATAATATGATTGCATGGTGGCTAACTTCACTATAGTGCGCCAAATAAAACCCTCGGGCCTTTTTTCTTCCCATTACAACCATAGCCCATAAGGAGTTTTTTTTTATTTGTTGTCGTGCTACAGGTTGTTAGGTCAGGTTCAAGTTCAAGCAAGGAAGTTACTTAAGTTCAAAATTAAAATATTCTCTTAAAATATTAATTAACCAGAAAATTAATAGGAATTCAGCCACATACAACTTAAATACCATTATTAAGAATTTCCTAAATTATTTAATTTTAATTTTTTTAATTTAAACTCGCGTTTGCACTCAAATAAAGACAAGCCAACAACTGACCTGTTTCTATGTCTCCGTATATTCCGAAAATATTCTGTATTTATTGTAATAAAGACAATAATCTCTAACAATGGCTTGCTGTTCCATTCGGTGGTGTGGGGAAAACAGCAAAACATTTAATTACAACACAAACAGCATCAACGTTAGTTAAATATTAAATATGTAATTTTGCCATTTTCGTCCATTACAGCAAAGCTCAACCTAACTGGTCGATTTGAAATGAAACAATTGACAACACCCGTCAATTGTTTCGAACTCGGGCTGGCCAATCGCAGTTGTCACGGTAATGATATGGCAGAATAGTTTTCAAACAAATGAAATGACATTTCGTCTCTATTTTTGGTTATATAATCGATGCTCTGTACCCCAGTCTCCGCTTGACTGGTAGAGAACGGCATTAAGCCAGCCAATTTATACTATTTTGTGTGCAATAAATACATCATTACACAGCTACAAAGTGGTATTTACATGATCTCGCGAAACTTCATATTTTTAGGCTTTTTTGTCATAAATTTGTTGAGTTTCGGTTGAAATATGCTATTGATTTGACATGTAATGTTAAAGACAAAAAGGCAAATCTCTACTTATAAAGAGAAACCCGAAAATTTGTAATTTCCTTAATTGTAAGCAAATTTCAACTTTTCGCTGTCTTGACAAAAGCAAAGTTTTTGTAGGGAAACGAAGTTTGCAAATATAAAAAATTATTTTATGATAGAACCAATTAGAAAATGAAACCCAGAAACAAAAATCGTGTTACTATTGTAAAATTCTTCCGGTTACTTTTGGCTGTCTATAACTAAATATAATAATACCTCCTCCTCTAAGTTTGTAACCCTAGAACTATGATGGAGATAAGACTTTAATCAAACATATTCCGTGCCTATAAACAGCTTACCAAAAGTTATTATTAGACGTGAAAAAATGTAAATTTAAATAAATGTGAAAAATAATTGTAAAACAATTAATAATTTATTTATTTATTTAAGAACGTTTAACCACGCTAGGTGTCAGTTTATAACGTTTCGTGCAATTGAGACTCTTTTGGATCCTGCAGTCAAATTTAAATTCTATAATAAGAAAGAGACCCAGAATCCCTTGTCTGAGACCGGGTAATTGGGATGGTCATCTGGCACATTATTAATTATAAATGAGGGTAGGAATCGTTCTGCCGAAATAATTTAAAGGTAAGCAGTTATTCCGGTAAACAATTCAAAAGTCGACCCGTGCCTAATTTCTAGCCGACCCGTCTATTTACAACTAAACTAATTAAGAATAGCCTACTAAGCATGTCAGTCCGTGATTATTATCTAACATTTTATATATTTGTGCTCGTTACCTATAAAGTATTTAAAAAAACTGTAGGCAGATTTTTACATACCTGCTAAACTCGCGCGCCTTCCAAACTGCGAGCGAACTCCAAAAATAAACAAGTTCAATGCCGAACTAGAATCCAATTTGACACAAACCAACAAAAAGACACCGTTTACAACACTGAACCAGGTTTTCCGAGCGATAGTGAACAATGAGTACGAAACTTTTAAACCAACAACAAAAATTGCAACACAAGTTTGGACCATAAAAATTATAGTCCAACGCACTACTACTGATGAATTTATAGATGACAATTCGACTTTTACGCTGTTTTTGTACAAGTAAGGATAGAACGGGGTACTTTTAAAGCGGGTTTACATTGTTTCTAGTCACGATCGTGGCGAAAATGACAAGCGTCGCGCGACGTGTGACTCCGAACGCGATTGTAACTGGACTGGGGATAGGTAAAAATGGCGGTGGCTGACTGGCGCTGGCGAACGGCGCGGTCAAAGATCATGCACCACTGCACAGGTGAGAAGAATTCGATAAAGCAGGAAATTAAATCTCTGCCTAATTATCGCTGCTTAGAGTAGGTTGGTGTCTTCATTAGAACACAATCTTTTAAGTAACAACTAAGTATTTTTTTATTCATCATATTTTGAAATTTATAAAACATAGAAACGCTGATGTTAGCGTTTTTAATTAGACAATCAAAATTTATTAATTATGCAAACATTTGTGACTAAACTTAATGTCATGTAAAACTTTAGCAACAGATATTCTTAAACTTAGGTATTGGGCCATCACTTGTTGAACCTTCTGTCAAGCATTCTGGTCTGTTTAGACGTAAGAGATCTTTGCAATAAATCTAATTCAACCGCTTTAAAACCCTTAAAGAGGTTACCATAAATTTAAACAAATACCATTGCTATACGTTTTGCTGAAACTACCGAGAAACAAACTAGTAACTAAAGTGTAAGTTTCTCTGCTATATTATAGGCCCCGTTCCATCTACAATTGTCGTGAAATCTTGTGAAATAGAACACAATGGAGATACTTTGCCAGCTTGAAATAGAGTTCTGGAGAATACACTAACATAATAAATTATATTTTTTACATAATACAAGTGACCGGACGAACAAATCGTGCGCCTGGTGGTAAGCGACACAAAGTCCATAACAGTTGCAGTGCCACTCTGAGCTTTAAATCGCAAAGATCTTAGGGTCACTGCCACTGCGGCTTGTCACCCTGAGGCATAAGTTGACAAGTCCCATGCGCCGGTAATTTCACCAGCACCCTTACCCTTCCAAACTAGAACGCAGTGATGTTCACATTACTGCTTGGCTGCAGAAATAGGTAAGATGGCAGATTTACAAAATGACCTTTATTAGATATCTATAATTTGTAAAATATTTTGAAATTTGAAAAATTATAGATTTCTAATAAAGATTATTATCTATTTTACATCTACTTCGTCTCTAAGCATTTCGTGTACTTATGTAACATATTTGCAGAAAAATTTAATAGTACTAACGTAATATAGACGAGTAATATTTTAATTACATATACCCTGATTTTCAATTATCAAGTTTAGAACATTGTGTATAATATAATACAAAATTCAATATTCAAAACACAATCAAAAGCCTTATTTTAAAGCCTTATTTTTATAATTAAGATTTAAATGAATTTTAACGGATTGTAAAACGACCCTACAACGCTGAACAAACGACCTTATTATTTTATACATAAAAACAAAGTTTAAGATAGAGTACTGAAAACATATCTCCGCTGTGTAATAAACAATAAACCATATAAAATTGGATTATTTCACTATCACAATGTAAAAAATTGTAAAACATTACCGTCTGCATTATTAGTCTATGATGCAAGCAACAGTGCAGTGCTACCGCGCGGGAAACTGGTTCCGAGACATAGTAAAAAATTGATAAAATCGCAAAAATTGTCTTTTATTTCCAAACAAACTTTGCATACATTTTAAAGCCCAATTGACCTCCTAAAAACAATTAAAACTGACCCATTGGGTCAGCCAGCGTTATGTCATTGTAACAATTTTGCAATATTAAGACATGTCACAACCCCATGCTACCGCAATAAAAAGATTATGTATAAACAATTGATATCTATATTTGCCGTCACAAGATAACCTCACCGTTAATTTTACATAACGCACCCTTGTTATAATAGGCATACATGTGATCATACCTCAACAGTGATTTATCACATGAACGTCATTCTTCTTCATGTCGTATCGATGGCATACATAATGCTTAGCATCATAGTGAAAGGGTTTGCCAATCAGCGTAATGTTGTGGCCTGTATGGATGTGGTCCGGAAACTTAAGGATGAGATGATATATTATATGAGAGCATATATTAAGATTACCATTTCTTAAGTTTAAAACTTCTATTAATAGTACATTATTGCAGAGGCTGGGAAGTAAGGCATTGCTGGAGGAGTACGAGTTACAAGGACGAGAGCCAGTGAGGCGTTGTATTAATACGAGTCAAGCAATCCCCGTTCCCGACGAAGCATCTATAGAATTTTTCTCAAACTATGTGAGGAAATAATAAAAGACTACAGAGAGGAAGATGTGTAATACAAAAAATTAAAAAATATATTTATTAATATTAAAAGCTTATTAAAAGTAATATTTGACGTGTTAGGACAATTGCTAAAAGAAAATGTTTTTGTTTTTCCAGGCACATGATAGTCATGATAGTCTGCTGAACTTCTGATGATGTGTTTGATTGTGTATCTATTACTGTATTTTCGTTATCGCTCTTCTTACTAGCATTTATTTTCGAGACCAAAATACAAAAAAGACGAAAAAGCAAACGAATACCAATACACTTTAGTTTAAATGTTACCGCCATTTCCTTTCTTTTTTTTAAGTAAGCGGTACAGGTAGGTATTTTTAATTCTCGCAATTATGATCACTGGGAAGTTGGCTGTATGAGTTTTTCTTTTGGCTGTTTACATAGTTCATTTATTATTAGTAGATTTAAAACTTTAGACAAGAAAACATTAATGGATTTTCATCGTTTTTTGAAAGTAATGCAAACATTTCGAAGCATGTTTGAGAAAAAGTATTTTATTTGAAAAGTCATATTACATAATTGTAACTTTTTCATTGAAAATAAAACCGACCTCAAAAGTTTGCTTATCGGTTTTTTTTCCATGGGATCCCCTGATCTGATGAGTTCTTGATGACATTGGGACTGTTACGGACTCCTTTGTACATTTTATATTTTCTTTTCTGTTTGTCATGGTCACGGTGATTTGTTGTTTACATATATTGTGAAAAGTGAAAAGTGGACTTTTATTTGTGGAAAATAATTACCAATTTGTGATAGCCGAAACGAACCCGGAACAGCATCAGGTACCACCTCGAGAAAATACCCTTTGAAACAAAAAAAGAATTTACAAAATCGGTGCACAATTGACGGAGTAATTGGTCGTGCCTTTAAAATTAGAGGATTTCCTTCGATTTTCATGGGACCACCACGCGAGTGCTCCCTTTCAAATAAAAAAAGAATTTTCAAAATCGGTCCACATTTGACGGACATATCTGAAAACATACATAAAACTTACATTCAGCCAAACGTATAAACTCCGCCTTTTTTGTTGAAGTCGGTTAGAAATTGAAGACTACGTGTTAGATAAAGATGTATGGAAAGACAACATGAGTCTTGATTCCACACAATTATGATTCAAAGTGTATTCCATAGCATATAAGTTTATTTGAAAAGAGCAATCCATTGAGTTTCTTGCTCGTTCTTCTCAAGGAGGTCAGCGTAGTGAACGAGCAGTAGGTTAAAAATGATGTTCTCAAATGCAAACATTTTACCTATGGAATAAATGATTATTTGACTTCGAATTTGACTTGAGGTTTAGCGTTTCATGACATATAAGGAACTGTTTACGGTAGCTTCATACATGTAAGTTCATATATGTGCACAAACAATTTTTCTCAAATTTTGTGTTTCTTCATTATAAAATACACAAGAAAGATTTTGACATTTAAACTGTTTTACCAGGGGATTGCACATCCGCTCGTTTCGGGAGTTTTGTAAGGAGTGATGACGGAATGAACGAACGTAAGAATAGTGGAAGGAAAAGGAATTCGAAAACGATTCCAAATTTTAAAAGTATGTCGCAAGGAACCAGTAAAGAGTGTGATAAAAAAAGGTGTGATGACGTTGAAGATGGTTAGCATCGCTACCAGGTACTCGCCGATTCTTGCCCAGAGTGGTTGCCAGAAACCCAAGGCAAGGGTCACGAAGGCAGATTTTTTAAACTCATTTCTCTCAATGTTGAATTTGCTGTCTGTGCCTATTTTCTTCCTAAGGCAAAAGGCGAGGGAAAAGAGAAACCACAATTCCCCTAGCCCGCTACCGGCATTAAACATCATGATTTATATTTAATTAATATTTAAAATATTCAAGTCACAACTTCAGATTACGCCGCTTCGTCTTAAAATATATAGGAGGTAGGTAAGCACGTAGAGTGCTTATTTATATAATATCTAAACAGAGAACTTATTCAAAAACGGACTTAAAAAGTGGTCAAAAAAGAACGTCGTATTTTTTATACTATTATATCAAATAAGGAAAGGATAAGAAATAAATAAATAAAGGAAAATAATAACGCACACACTCAACAGAGCCCCGCACTAGGAAAACCCTGTGTCGCGGGTGCCATGGACACACACACAGACAATCACAAATTACACCCGATCTCACGAGAGAAATAAATACAGGCCATACCACAGACCACATAAATTTCTTCCGTGGGCCATACACATATTTATCCCGGCCCGGGAATAGAACCTGGGACCTCTGCGCGGCAGTCCAGCATAGTAACCGTTCGACCACGGAAGCAGTTATATGTGACGCTACTCAAACGTTCTACTGCCTCCTGATTGGTTAAATTGGCCTAAAGGTCTTGCAACCGGAATATAAACGTTGATAAAAAAAAAATATTGGTTAAAATATAAGCGGTACTTGACAACTTCTATTGTATGTGTTTGTTTTTTTTTTGGTTTTGTTGCTTTGTTTGACTTTCGTTTGAGTTTGTTGTCATGGATTGTTAACAAAATATACATTAAATATTTGTTGTGTTTCATTATTTTATTTACTCGTAGAAAAAGTATTATATGCAATCATTACGTAACTGACTCTTTAAATGCAACGATTGCTAATAATACTATAGTTTCACTATAGTTTTAAACCCAGTAAATGGCAAATTTCAAATATAAATAGGAATCTTATGATAGAAGCGTATACCTTATCCTTTAAAAAATGAATCTGTGGTTTTAGGAACAGCTAGAGATTTGGTATTGGACTCAGAGACGACGGCTTAGTGGTAGACCGCTAGTTGTGCAATGCACAACGGGAAGTGAGCGTGCCTACGGCTCCGGTACCTAT